GTAAGGAAGGGCGAAACGCAGATAGAGATCTTCGAGTGTACGTGAAACGTACTAAATTTCACTTTAATTTTTACACAGCATTTTATCCCATCCATTACTCAAGGTGGGGGCGTGTCTGGAATATTTTCTGGAGGGGAAAAAAGGAATAAAAAGATGTTTTCCCCATTGTTTGAAAAATCCCGCCAGTACCCCTGTGAATCGATAGATAGCGCTTTCAGTTGTTGACTCAGTGCAAAATGGCGTCGTTTAATGTGAAAGGCGAGACATTGTTCAAAATATTTTTAAAATAGCTACTGTTTGTGCCAACACTAGTGTGTAATTTTTCTTACTGTTGCGTCTCAAGACATTAACTATTAAACGATATACATCAGTTACAGTATGTAAGTAAATATTCCGTGTCTTAGCGAGAAGTCCAACTGTCTTCAAGACGTAGGCTATCGAGCTGAAGCCATATTTATGATGTTATCTAAGGACCTCGCTTCATAAGAAACAGAAGTGTTTGTTCTCAAGGTTTGTTTTTATATCGAAATAATTTCATACAGGTTAGTGTCTACTTCGAGATTAATTTATATTGTTTCTTTTTCTCGTTTATGTATTACAGCACTTTGCCTATTTGAAATTTAACAGGGGTAAGCTAGGCCGCGTATGGATTAGACCAGGCCGTGGCAGGTGAGGTAGAGCAAGGCTTTTGAATTAAGCGGCTTATCTAGGATACATTCTGTCATCAGATCATTCAGATTATTGGCCTCTGAAAGCAGCGGTACTTCAGTTTTGCGTGACAGGTGTATCAGTTTTTTATTATTGTTGTTAGAAACATACTAACTCATTAAATACATTATTACTGACCCATTTTCTTCCAAACCTGTAACTGACCATTGGCTTCCACCTAACCAAAACCATTCAGAGACTTTTGCTGATTCAATTCTATGTTAATAAAAAGAAATAGGGTTATAGCCAGGGTTTTATGTTTATAAAGATTTTTTTATGTATGTTTTTTCTGTTATTTGAGTATGAAGATTATTCTGTTGTATTGTGTAAATTGAGTTAATGTTATATGAGAAATGAATGTAGGAAACTGTTTATAGAGTAATAACTGATTTGTTTTGTTTTTTCATTCTTTGGCTAAAGCTATACCTTTTTGGATTACTGGATTTTTCTATTATAATCTCATTTACAACTCCTTTTTCCAAAGTTTTGGAATCCTGGCTTAAGCCCTATTTCTTCATTCACAGGTGAAGATGGACTTGGGTGAAAGTTCGAACCGTCGATTGATGTGCCGTCAGTTTAATGATGTGGTTCTAGAGGTATTGGAAGTAAAGGTGTGAGGAATCTATATGAAGAGCTGTGGCAAGAAGGCATTTTTGTGAATAAACTAGTGAATACTGTTACCCTGCCTTGATCATAATGTTGTGAAAAAACTGTGAAAGCTGGGACAGAAAACTCTCAGTGAAATTCATTGCACGTAGTTGTCCACTCTTAAAGACTGGCACAGCTAGGTAATGGATCCGGTGGGGCCATGGTCAGCGTACGCCGCTTCTTATAACCGTCTGGCTGGCGCAACAGGCGGTTTCCAGTCTGGGTCTGCAGGCGGGGCAGGCGATTTTGTTGCCTCCCACCATCATCTAGCAGCAGCCACGGGGAACTCGGGTCTGGGAAGCCACCAGCCAGGCGGTGGTGTGCCATCCACAACGTCTCAGTTGCTACTTCAAGCAGCGCACACCACTGCCAGCTTGGCTGGCCAGCTTGGGATGTCAGCCGCTGGACCTGGCACCACCGCTTCACCTTTTAATCCTGGTGGATTCCTCTCTCCTCCTCCAGTAGGCTATGATGCAGTTTTTTCTCCACTATTTCACCATGCCAACCCTAAGCCTGCCCACTATCCCTCCACGCTGAATGTAAGTCAGCATAGACAAGCTCTGGCACAGGCCCAGGCTGCTGCTACAAAGCAGAGCTCAGTGGAATCAGAACTTTCTAGTTTACGTGAAAACTACAGTACAGCACATCATCAAAGTCTTGCTGCATCAAGTAGCTCCTTCTTTGAACACCAGGCATCATCTTCCTCTCCATCTTCATCACTAGCATGGTCACATCAAGGCAACACTCAGCTACCAAGCCCTTTTGGAATTTTACCACATGAGACTGTTGTGACCTCATCCCCTGGACCAGGAGCATCCAAGTCTGGTACATCAGCATATGAAAATACATTCAATGCTCACTTTGCAGCTGCTCAGAGTCTGAATCATCTGAACTCTCAGCTCACAGCTGCAGCTGAATATAACAAAAGCTCTGGCAGCTATGGTGATAACCCTAGTAAGAAAGCAAGTCGGGCCCAGTCACCACTTGTTACCCCAGTGAAACCAGTAGCATCTGCAGCTTCCAGTGTCTCAGCAAGTGGAACTCCATTTTTTCACCAGGCTTCAGCAAGCACATCCTTTACTGGTTCTGAATCACTTGCATCACGTAGTGATTGCTCGTCTCTTTCTGCAAATTTCTCAAGCAGTAATAAGTCACAGCAGCAACAACAACAGCAAATTTCTTCTGGTTCAGAATTTCCTGGTGGAAGTAAATCTTTTGGCAGTAGCTCTTCAAGCTCTCTTCACCACCAGCAGTCTTGCATTGTTTCAACTGCATCTTCTACTTCAGCATCTTCTAAAGATTATCGCATTCCTCAGCCTCCATCACGATCAGCCTCTTCTTCTCTCTTCCTAAATGCAGCTTCGACATCGTCCCGGTCATCATCCCAAGCTGCTGAAAAACAGACCTCCAGGAACCAGAATTTTGTCCCTCCAACTAGTAAGGCCTCAGCACATCAGACTATTCAAACTAAGGCACAGACTAAGATATATCCTGAGTTGGCAGCTTCATCGGAGCATTCTCGTCGGAGTGAGAGTACACTAGAATCTAGTCAATCTTCGCCGATTAGTTTTGCCATGATGGACGCAACTGCTCATCGCCAAGGACTAAATTATTCTGGTAACACAACTGCTGGTGGATCATGTTCATCTGGCTCTGGGTCATCTTCAAAAATTACCTCTAACTCCCAGCGTAGTAATACAAGTTCAAATCTTCAGCAGTCTCAGTTCCAACATGTATTGAATCAGCAGGCTGCTGCAGGCTCTTCTTATCATGCTCGCCATTATTCTGGTTCAGTTTCAACAGGGGATTCATCAGAATATCATCATGGTGGCCGGTCTAAGGCATCTGGATCTACAGACTCTACATATCCAGAGAGGTTACTCACTTCTAATAATTCTTCTTCCCAGAATGGACCAGACTGTGGTGTTGTTGTTCCACGAAGACCTAGTCCCTTACAAGCCCATTCTCAGGCCAGCCCCTTAGGCCATGTTCCCAGCCCAGCTTATCCCATGTACAATAGTCCCATGGCATCTATGTCATCACCTTCACCTCTCCAGCAGCATTCTGAACCTGCTGGAAACCAATGTTCAAGTGGAGGAGCACCAAGACATAATAATCCTCCATCACAGCAGCAACAAGTTGCTCCTCCCTCTCCTTTGGATGTTACAGTTCCAAGACCATCTTCACAAGGGGGGCAAGTTGCTTACCCATCAGTTATTACTCGTGCCCTCTCAGGGGAAGGAGGAAGTAAATCCTATGGTGGTGAAGGGAGGTCCTTTGAACGATCCCAACAACAACAGCAGCAAGAATTCTCACAAAAACAGCAAGGTTGTTGGGAAACAGGAGACAGCAGACAACAGCCTCACCATTCCCGACCTACAAATAAGTTTCAAGCTTCTTCAGGCTATGGAGCAGGAGGTATAGAGATGTCACAGCAGGTACCTGCACAGCAGCAACAACAGGCTCAACAGAGAGCAGCATTAGGCATCTCAGAACGACAGCAGGCATACTTTGATTCAAGTCCAGGACATCAGGTGACACTTCAAGATCTTAGTAGCTGTCGTGGAGACCCAATGAGTATTGTGAAGAATTTGCAAACTCTACAACAGCAGCAATCATGTCAGCTTCAGCCAAATCCAGAACAGCCAAAATCTGCACCTGAAGAGCGACTACAAAGTACTAAAGGTGGTGGTAGTGGTGGAAGTGGTGGTAGCGGTGGAAAGCGTAGGAAAAGTTCAGAGAAGAGTCATGCAGGTGCAGCGTCTCTGAATGATCTGGCAGGCTCTGCAATGGCTGAATATTTCACAGGCCGTGTTCCCCCACCTGCCCATCACAATACCAACCAGCAGCAACAGAATGGTGGGTATTTTGATTTTGAACGCTGGAACCTCCCACCGCCGCCACCCAAGATGTTTGGTGGTGGTCCGGGTGCTTTCGGTTCTCAGTCACCACTACATCATGGCGGAAACTTTGTGGGAAATCCTGCTCATCAGCACCAGTCTCTGATGGTCCCTCACCCCCACCATCACCCTCCACCTCCTCTTCCTTACTTCCCACCTTTTCAGTTACACCCTGGTCATCATCCACATCATCCTCCCCATGAGTTCCAACCCTCTGTTGAAATTGCACCACTTCCTTTTGAGAACACTTCTTCTGGAAACAATTCATTTGCCACAGGGCAGGAAGCTCGTGATGACCAGCCCAAAGTTATTGTGCCCAATATAGAAGAAGAATTGGGATTTCTTGCAGAGTCAGATGCAGCCCCAGCAGCTACTAGTACAACCACTACTACAAGTACAACAAACTCTGCAGGTTCAACAGTGGCCTCTTCAGTGGAAACAAAGATGCCAGAAAAAAAGTCTCTGCCATGTACAAACCCATCCTCAGGGTTTATGGCCAGTTACATGAAGTTCCTTCAGGGTGAGAGAGATTCATCACCACCGCCAGCAAATCGTGGAGGGAGGAAAGCTACTTGGTCTAGGGCCAAAGTTTACCAGCCTGAGCCTACCAAGCCTACAGCAGCAAGCACCACTGCTATCACTGCCACTACAACAGCATTGGATTCAGGGGCCACTGCAACATCTAATTGTAATGCAACATCAGCAACACTCACAAATTCCGTGTCTGCTTCAGAAAAATCAAAGGACGTTGCAACTGCAAAGAATAAGGAGGTTTCTAACAGGGTATATGACCCCGAAGATGACCCCAGGTACTTTCCATTACCCAAATCAGATGCTAAGAGGAAAAGCTTTGCTGATTCTGATGGGGATTTTGACTCTAGTGATGGAGAGAAGGAGAAGTTAGTAGAAAAGGAAAAGCCTAAACAGAAAGAAAAAGAGAAAGAAAAGGAGAAAGAGAAGGAAGAACCTAAATCTACGTCAAAACCATCCTCAAAGCAGTCTAAAGCCACAGTGAAAACATCTTCAACAAAGACAGCTGCTCCACTGGCCACATCTCAAGCGGAGTTTGTTGCTAGCAAAGCAGTTGAAAAGGCCGAGAAGATAGAGAAAGGGAAGAAAAGTCGAGGACCAAAATCTGGGGGTGGACAGACTGCTAGCAAGAGGAAACATGACCAGGAAGAAGGTTCGTTTGTTGATTTTCATTTTAGAAACTGGGACAGGTGGTAACAATTTTCTTCCTCCTTGTTCACATTGCCATTAAGTTGCCATTTTACTATATCATGAGTAACTTTGGCTTTAAGTTGTTTTGAAATGTTGGGTGCCCTACTGGAAAAATCTTTCCAAGGTTTTCTAAGGTCTAGCCAGTCTTGCATGGTCTCTTGAAACCTTGTGGAGTTATATCATCTTGAGGAGCTTGATAGGGGCATGGTACAATTTCATATTGGAATTCAGTTGTATTCTTGGGGGTGCTACCAGGATGTTGTATTTTAACTTCAAAATTTATAATAGTGAATAGGTCTGTATTGAAAGAGGTAATCATGAATATTATATATGAATTTTTGCAGTATTATGGTACCCGAACTATTGACAACTTTTTGTGTCCTGATTAAAATGTAATTTGTATGTAAGATAATTCTGTGGACATAAGCAAAATTGTTTGTTATTGCATTTGCCCATTCAGTAAAATCTGATGTTAAAACAATTCATTGTAAACTTGACAGTTTTATTAATTTACCTAATGGTAGTGTAGTGGTTTTTATTCAACATTTGTTTTCTTTGAAACATTGGCATTATTTGTGTCCAGAAATAAGATACTTTCATTCTCAGTTTTTTAACTTTAAAGAGGAATGCTAGCACCAGCAAGATTAAATTTACTTGTAAATATTTTGTATAATAGTGTTCAGTGAATAAAAGAGAATATGTTATGCAGTCTTATTGTAGATTTCTTAGTAATTTTAATTGAAATTGTGTGATAAAATTCACTACCCTGGTAGCACCCCTTGAATGTTTCTTGACTCTTTGTTTTTGGGAAATGTGTTTTATACTAACATCCCAGTTATTTTCATACTTGTTTCTATGTTTACATTATACACATAGTTTTATTTATTTTTGGGTGCCTAGGCAGATGTCATAAGAGAAAAACTTATTTAGAAAAATTGGTAATCTGCTTAATATTTTTCACTTGACTGAAGTCCAAGTTGATGGTTTATGAAAAATTATAACTTCATAGTGATGATTTTGATTTGAGAATAGATCATATACTTTCATTAAATCACATTAACTTATATGTTTCACCATCTAGGTTGGTGAAGCGATAACGTTATAAACATGTCTTTGGGAGCTAACTGGGTTTAAGGTTATTCTGACTGTTGTCTTTATAGTTTCCTCCAGGCAAATTCTGTTTTCCATCTTACATTCTTAACACATTTATTATAACCCCGTCAAGATATACAGCAATTTCATCTGCACCTCTGCTACATTTATTTTGCCTACAAGTCATTTCATTTAACTTCACTCTTTACCTAACATCATTTTTATCTATGCCATTTCACCTGTATTCCTTTGTATGAAGCTATATCCTTGCATTTGATATCTGGATTTTTCTTCTTCTTCCAAAAACGTATCTTGTATTGGACAAACCTGTATCCTTGTATTTTATATAGGGTAAAACTAAATGCTTGCATTTGGTGTGTTTGCTCATATCAAGCAAAACTGAATTCTTGCATTTTGTTTGCATGCTCAAAAGCTGTTACATATAATGTGTCTGTATATAATCTGTTTATTTGGTTGGTAATGTTTCACATTTTTGCGCAGACATTGAAAGATGAATGAAAAGTAAGACACAAACTTACATTCTGTGTGTTTTTATTGCATTAGGTTAGTGCTTTAGTTAGGTTTTAGTTTTCTGTTAGGGAAGGTTGGTTATGGTTATGAGTTATTTGCATGATTTGCATGAAATGTACATGTATTAGGCTGGTCATGTCTGTCTGTCCACATTATTCAATTCGAGAAACACTGTATGGATTATGTTGAAATATAGCATGGATGTTATGGCTTATAGTCATACTCTATAATTTCCTACAGTTGGTAATACTGTCATGGTGGGCAAACAGACTTGTGATGTGGAACTGATGCAAGTGTCATTTGCAGTGATACTTGGTAATAGGTTTTTTGGAGAAAAAGAACAACTTTGTGGTATAGAAATTGTTTGCACAGTGTAAAATAAGAACATAATGACTGCATGAAAAAAAAAGTTTAGCCTTAATGAGGATTTGATCCAGTACACTACCACAGAACTAACGTGCCATAGGCATGTTGCTGTTGATTTATGTTCTGTGAAGAAGACATGATTTTTATAGCTGGAAAATAAAATTGTCTAAGGTAACTCATGTAGTCTTTTATTAGTGATTCAGAATTTGCAAAGAATGCATCTGTGTGTTCTGTTACAGATCTCACCTTTCCAGTCTTGTTAAGTTAGTACTTTGGTTATGATTTTAATATGGTGCGGCAACATATGGATGTACTATTATGTCAGTAATATACAGACTAATTAACAAGTATTTCTGACATTTCAGTGAAATTTTAACATTGTCTGCTGAACTATTAGGAAAGCAATCTCATATAATTAAAACTATATTTTTGCCTGCATTTTCCATTGTACTGGTGAAAACCAGTACACATGTGAATTTGAGTCAGTTTAAATTTAGTCACCGAATGAAACAGAAGAAACTGCAGTAGGCAAGTTTACATTGATGAAGTTAGAGTGCGTAAAAATGGCTGCATGTTAACTGTCATGGAACCACTAGAATTGACATTTAATCCGAAATATTTACACATTGTAACAACCCTTTGAAATGTATCCTGTAAGTATTTATTTGGTTTCCATAAGCTGAATTCATCTGTATATACCATAATTTTTGGTGATCCACTCTCTTGTCTTACTCCTGTTATTTCATACTTTACTATGTTGAACAGGAGTGAGTATAAAAACTTTCCTGTCTGACCCCTCTAAACACTTTGGGAACTTTAAAATGTTTTGCCATTTATAACCACACTATTTTTCATATGTCATAAACGTTTTTATTTTGTCTTTTAGTTGTTTGGAAACATTAGTTTATTGTAATGCTTCCCATATTTCCTGTTCCTTTATATTATCATATACCTATTCAGTATTAGTAAAAGCAAATATGTCCATGTAAGGTTTGAAGTTTTCACAGCGGTGAGTATGAAGATATCTGTCTTCTGGGTTGTTGCGCTGTGTAGTCTGGTCGATGTTAACCAACGTTTCAGAGGTCATACTGCCTCCGTCATCAGGGCAATGACGGAGGCAGTATGACCTCTGAAACGTTGGTTAACATCGACCATACTACACGGTGCAACAACCCAGAAGACAGAAATCAAGTATGTCCATTTGCAAAATGTCCATGTCTGCCTGATTGTGAATATTATATCATACACTGACCTGTTCCTGAATTCCCTCAGTTTATTTCCACCTGTCTTCTTAATTTCAAATTTATTATTTCTCATTCGATATATACCCTGTTGCATTACTTCTTCACCACTCCCCCAAAATAATGTATTTTTAAGGTAAAAATCTGAAATCATGAGTATTAGATTATGTATATATAAATAAATAAAAGTCACAAAAATTACCAAGAAACCAATCAGATACTCAATGTTATATATACAAAACACTATTTTACAGTCTTATAACTGCTTAAAATTTTGAAATGTGACGAGTGTCAAAATCACAGTAAAATTGTATTCAACAGCATGGTGGCCATGTGGCATATATGTACTCCAGACGGCAACGCTTTGCATACCAACAAGAACAGGTTTTTATAGTTCAGAGAGGAAATTTGAATGTCACAGCAAAGAAGGAGATTGTTCTTTGATGTGGACTAAGTTTATGGTAACGCATTACAAGTTAGTTATCTCAGCAGAGTTAATGGCAGTCCCCATATATTTTTTGTATTGTTTAATCTGTTTTTATATATAAATTATTCAGTTTTCAGACCTTTTTTTTTCCAAATATTTTGACTTGGACTCAAGAGCTTAAGATTTCTGTGTGTATAATTTTCGTATACCTTTGGTATTCAGTAAGAAGGGCTCGAGTCAGTACACATTATGTTTGGCTTAATCCCTTCTTACTGAGCACTAAGGATATCCTGTGTCTATTTATGTGCCCACCTGGGTCCAAAATTGAATGAACCTGGCACCACCATGTGCTGTTGACAAGTCAGTTTATCATTGATGTGAATGCTAGGATTTTTTCTCATTCAAACAGCTCTTTGCTGTTCCATATTATTGTTGCAGTGATTTGTCACATTATATTTACTGAAAGTTTATGAAAGTTGCTGGACATTTTGAATCTTAACTAGATATAAGATGGACAAATTTCAGTCCTCAGTAAGTAGTCAGCCAAGCTAAGTGCTGATTCAGGGGATGTGACATAACTTGATGTCTTTATGTGTGGATGTGGTGAAGACAGCTATTGGATCTCATTTCATTGAGGGGCATGACACAACTGGAGATAAGCGATAATGGTGGGCTAGCAGTGGATTCAAATTTACCCAGTTTTGGGCCTCACTGGATACTTATAAAGGTTCAGTTGTTGCCATTGCTTATCTAAGCACCATACTGTGCTGGAATATGGGGAAGTGGAGGCAGTG